ACGACAGAAGCTGCCACGATTTCGAGAACTGGTCTCAAAGAAATGGGAACAGATGGACCCCGGAACTGAAGATTAAGTGAACCTGAAACAAGCAAGATGACGCCAGTCAGACCACCAGTGAACAATCTGAAGATGACGCTCAGAGCTGACTGTGCTGTTTCTGCGCGTAGCCTGCCCCCGCCCCCCCCCGACTTCTGTCTATAAAAGCTCTTGCCCACAGTTTGCCAGTGGAGGGGGAGAGTTGGCCTTTGCAGAGATAGATGTCTGCCCTCCCCCTGCCCAGTTGCGGGCACCTAAAATAAAGCAAACTTTCCTTTCCACCAACCCGCCCTGTTTACTGGCTTTTGGGTGGCAAGCAGCCGGATCCCACACTCTTTCGGTAACAGGAGCGCTCAATTATTGGACTGAAGTGTCCGTCCAGTCGAGTGGTTAGGCGCATGGAGTCCCGTGTCCTCTACTGATAATGCACATTGTCGTGAGCAAGGACTGGTTGCCGGGACCGGCTCTGAAATGCTAGAGCTCAGTGTTTTCATGCTAATGGGCTGAGCCAGTATTTTTTTTTTTTTGGAACCTGTTCTTCCTTTTGGGTCAAGTCGCCTGTTGGAGTGACTGCTCTGTTGCTCAATCTCTAAGTCATGTCTGACTCTTTGCGACCCCATGGACGGTAGCCCACCAGGTTTCCTTTGTCCATGGGGATTTCCAGGCAAGAATACTGGAGTGGGTTGCCATTTCCTTCTCCAGGGGATCTTCCCAACCCAGGGATCGAACCTGCGTCTCCAGCATCGGCAAGTGGATTCTTTACCACTGAGCCACCTGGGAACCCAGCAGTAAAATGGGAATAACAGTTGTACCTACTTCATGGGGTTGTTGACAGCGCTAAATTAGTGACTAAATGTAAAAGACTTCAATTATAATAAGTTCCTAGAGCAGAGAGCTTTCCTTCCACATTTAAGGAAACAGAGCAGAAAGCGTGTGGGAGTCGGTCAGGCTCTCTTGGGTCACTTTCGGGTCCAGTCTCCTAACCTGGTGGAGTGCCTGCTCCCACCCCTGGGTGGGCTGGCGTAGGACACTCCTGATGACATGCTGGCAGCTGGCTCCGTCCCGCCCCAGACTCTTGTCAGGACCAGCCTTGGGGATTAAAGGCAGTGACCAGAAGAAAGAGTGACGGCTGCAGGGCACAGCTCCAGTCCGGCCGTGCCTGCTGCAAGCTGGATAACCAGGGACACGCGACTTGCTCTCAGCACCACACTCTCAGCACTAAGCTCCCCTCCAGGCTGAAGGGTCTCTGACCCCAGGAGTTGACCTAATAGGTTCCCACCCACCTCGTTTCGTTTGAAACCATTACAAGGAAACTGGAACCATGTGAAGCCTGCACAAGCATTTATTAATGAAATTGTTATGATCTGATGTTTTGCAAAAGAAAAACCTTTTATTGTGTGAGATATGCTGGTGAAATACTCGTGCGCCCTATTAGAATTGTTTTCCTGCAAAGTTGCTCCACCCACCGCATCCATTGCTCACAGAGTCCCCCCTTCAGAGGAATGGCAGAGGCTGTCTGGATGGTGTTGGGGAGGGGGCTCCCGAGGAAGCTCCCCAAGCACAAGGTGGGGGCAGAACTCCTGGAAGCCCCACGTTCTCACTCGCCTTCTCAACCTTTGTCCATGGTGACCCTCCCTACCCTCCATCTGCTCCTTCACATCCCAGTTTGCCTGCCACTTCCTCCAGGAAGTCTTCCCTGACTCACTCCCAGCTGAAGTTGGTCTGTAACCATCTACTTTTCAGGATCTCCCGGAAGTTATGACCTATGGGCAGAAGGCTCCGGTCTCTCTTCCTCTCTGCCATATCCCCAGGACCTAGAACAGTGTCTGGCACAGAGCTGGCCCTCAGCAGATACCTCACGTATAGATGATCAAACGCCTAAGGAGGCCAGCTGAGCCCACTTTGCATGACCTTTACCAATACAGCTTTGGCACCCGAGAGCTGCCTCCCTCTCAGCTCCTGGCTGGGGACATGCAGTCTCAGTAGTGCAGTCTTGGGGAAAAGGACACTGTCCTACTCTAGGAAGGGGACAACACACATAACAAGTAATAATGACACAGCTCCCACAACAGGTATCCTACGGTCTTGCCCTCAATCCTCCTGCGTGCTTAGTCATATCCGACTCTTTGCAACACCACGGACTGCAGCCCGCCAGGCTCCTCTGTCCACGGGATTTCCCAGGCACGAATATTAGAGCGGGTTGCCATTTCCCTCTCCAGGGCATCTTCCCAACCCAGCAATCGAACCGGTGTCTCCTGCTTTGCAGGCGGATTCTGTACCACTGAGCCACCCGGGAAGCCCCCTCAATCCTCAGAGACCTAAAAAGTCGGTTTCTGTTATGTCCATTTTACAAATGAGAACCCAGGTCATCCCGTGGTTCTGTTCTGAGGGACGACAGGCAAAGCTGTTGTCAGTTCCACAAATGAGCTCTCCTAGAAGCCTGCTGGGTGCCAAAGGGGAGTGAGCCACCCTCCGCCCCCACCACCATCAGGGCACAAATGCACCCAAGGTGGGGTGGCCCCGGGCAGTGCTGGAGGGGGCGTAACCTGGAGCTGTGGCCCCCCAGAAGAGGCCCTGGCGCCACCCCCCAAGACACCCTGAGTCTCATTCTCCTGCAGCCCCCCTCAGCCTGTCCAGCCCCCTCCACCCGACTGGGAGACTTCCGGAGCAGCCGCGGTGCAGCCGCGTGTTTTCAGGCCAAGTCCTCCCTCCCCTTTGTTCTCCTCCCAGCGACGTTCTCTGTGATCAGTCGGAGAGGCTGCCCGGCTGGAGCCAGAGGCCAAGAAAGTCTTGGAGAAAACACAACCGTCTTTCCCAACACCCTCCTCCTCTCTTACTCCCTCCCACCCTGGCTCTTAGGAAAGCCCAACGGGACAGACAAAAGGATGCAGGACAGACCGGCAGTTCCCACTCTGCCCCCGTGGCTCAAGAGTGCAGCACCCCTCTGCCTTCCTGTGGCCTGGTCACCAAATGGGTGTCCGAAGAATAGCTAAAAGGCTCACCATCAAGGCCTTTTCCGCGATCACTTTTAAAGTGCACATTTCCTCTGGGACCCCCTCAGCTCTATGGGGGTGGGTGGGGACAGTGTCACTCTCGGCCTTACAAGGCTTCGGGAAACTTATAGCGTCTGAGTTTGCAGGTACAGAAAGGAACCTGGCAGATCTCTCCCGTTCTCTCACCCCAAACCATACCAAACTTGTTGAAATTCAAGAAAGGGACCTCCCCAAAGATACAGGCATTATCATCAGTGGGCAAAGGAGAGAGGCTTCTTTACCCGCTTCAAGTGAGGGCCTGCCCTAGGAAGAAGATGGCAGTAAACCATCAGTCAGGGCTGGGGAGCCATCCCAGCCTAGCATGCCTCGGCACTCCTTCAAAGCTGGACTCCGCCAGCCTGCAGGAGACCCTTCTCACAGGAGGTGGGACAGCGGCGGAGGGTCTGGGGACTCGGCCTCAGCAAAGCCCAACTACACCTTCTCTCTGCGACTCAGACACAGGAGGTGCCGGGGCCCCCTGGGCTTTTGATCCAGCCAGCTGTCCCCTGAATTCCCTTCCTCCCCTGCCTGCCTGACCAGCTCCCGCTCCAGCACCCTCTCCTCCAAGAAGCCTCCCATCAACCCCCGGGCCAGGATGGCTCTCACTGCCTGTACTGAGCCCTGTTCCTCCACCCACGACACGTCCCGGGCACAGGCCCGCGCCCGGAACAGACGGGGCTCCGTGAAGGTCTGCGGCAAAGGGGGCCAGGGAGCCAAGAAACCTCTGCAGAGCCCTCCCCGCCCCCACCCCCAGCCTCCCCGGGACCCCTGAATCCCGGCAAGGCATTAGCTGGGACAAGTGACCTTTGACAGAGGAAGGGGAGTGGTCACCAGAGAGTTTAAAAGCTCAACTAAGCCAGAGATAAAGAACTGGAGATGCCGAGGGTGGTCGGAGCCCTAATCTGCGCCTGGCCCCAGGAGGGCTGGCCTGGCTAATGACTGATGAGCAACTGGGGTCAGTGGAGAGGTCAGAGGTCATGGCTGTGATTGGCAGGGCCTTGTGGTCACCCCTGAGGAGCGAGGCCTTGAGGATTAAGGGAGAAAGGATGAGCTGGGTGCTCGCCATTCCAGCGCTGTCAGTCCCAGGGCTGGGGGCTCTGCTGGTGGAGACCCCCTTGCACCCCCTTGCCACCGGGCGGCTGGGTTTGGAGGTGGCCCGACCCCGGCCACACTGAATATGGAGGCTGGCAGCACCTCCGTCTTGGGGTCCTCAGTGTCCCAGGAGGGCAGACAGCAGTCTCCCCACACACAGCTGCGACCCTGAACACCTCCAGACTACACCCTTCCTCTCGGCCGCCTTCACCAGCGCCCCCTACTCCATGACGGTTGCTGTGTCTTGAGCAATTTACCCATCCCCTCCCCCCAGTCTGTTTTCCCAACAGAACGCAGGGTACCACAGCCCCTGCATAAGGGTGGAGGGGGGAGGAGTGAGAACAGGTAAGCCAAGGGCGCTCCAGGGACGAGGGGCAGCCACGGGGGGTAGGGGTGGGGCGGGGGGAGGAGGAGGGTGGGGGAGGGGCGGCGACCTTGGCCACCACCATCCTTCTTCTCCCCCAGCCGGCACTTTGGCCCCGGCGGGTGGATGGGCGCTAGGGTGGGCAGGGTTTGGAAGTGAGAGGACCTGCGGGACAATGTGTTTGGAGGCATCCGTCTCTAAAACAAGTCCCCAAGTCAGCGGAGGTGATCAGGATGGAAACCAGGAGGCGGGTAGTTGGGGGGTGGCGGGGGGAGCGCCGCGGGGCAGCTCAGAGGCCCCAGGACCGCCGACGGGGGCGCAGCTCCGGGCTGCGTCCCCAGGCGCCGGCAGTCCCAAAAGTCCCACGGGGCGCGGGGTCCCCAGGGGTCGGGGGTGGGGGGTGGGGGAGTCACTCAAGCGGGGGCCGTGGACTCGGGGCGCCCCCTCCCTTCCGACGTCCCCTGCGCCCCTACCTCGGGCCGCCAGCAGCGAGAGGCCGCCGAGCAGCAGCAGCGGCAGCGGGACCCGGCGCGACGGGGCGGCGCGCTCCATGGGCGGCGGGCGGACAAAGGCGCGGGGCGCGGCTCTGGGCTTCGGGCAGCGCGGGCTCCAAGCTCCGGCCGAGCCTCCGCAGCCAACGCTGGGCCCCGGCCGCGCGGTTCAATTATCCCGCCCCGGAGGAGGGCGAGGGGAGGGCGCGGCGGGGGCGGGGCCGCGGGGCGCCCGCTCCCCTCCCCCGGCCGCTCCCCGCCGGGGACCTTCGGGTCCCCTCCCTCCTGGGGCGCCCTCCCTCCTGGCACCCATCCTCGAAGGGCGCGCAGGCCCACGGCCGGGGCGGGGACAGGGACCCCAAACTTCTCCCCGGTGTGGGGGCCTGGGAAAGGGGGGGCGCGATCGGCGGGAAGCACCCCACCCCCACCCCCGCCCACACCCCCACCCGCCCTGCGCGAGTGAAACCCGATCCCCTCCGCACCCATCGGCCGTGGCGGGCTAGGTATCAAAGGTTAGCTCCGCCCGGCTCCACCGAAAGGGCGGGTTAGGGGGGGCGGCCCCATGCAGTGAGGGGTCCCCAGGATCGGAGGCGCCTTTTGAGGGGAAATAAGGGCGGTCCATCCGGGGAGCCCCCTGCGGGACTCGGCCCCCGAGTGTTGCCCGGAACCCACAGTCTGCTGGTTTCCCTCCCTCTCCCTCCTGCGCGGGGTCGTCGGGGCTCTGCAAGTCGGTGGTCGACCTCAGGTGTGCCCTGAGACTGCCACCTGGCTCTGCCCTCAGGGGACCGCCCGGCAGGCTGACTCCAGCAGCATCCCGACGCCCGGGGAGGGTGATGAATCCCGGACACCCAAGCTCCGGGGAGAAAGAGATTTCTTTTTGCCCATGAGGAAGCAGCCTTTGAGCTGGGCCTGCAAGAGCCACTCTGTGTAGGAAATTCATGGCTGCAACCAGTCAGTGATTACTGAGGATGAATTAGTCTGCTGAGTCCAGAAATAGAATTATTTCAAAGAATAAGAAATACAAAGATGTGCAGGTGGAGATGGGAGCAGGGGGATGAGACCCACAGGGACACCCTTAGCCAAGTGTCGGGGTTCCCTGACCCAGGAGTCCCACTGGGTTTTATACCAGGCAGAAAAGCATACGCTGTCCTGGGCACTGAGACAAAATCATGGGCCAGAGTGCTCATTGCCGGGCAGTTCAGGACAGCTTCCAACAGGGACAGGCCGAGCTCAGCTGCAGTGGAATGCAGGCATTGGGCAGTCAGCGTGGAGCACTACGCAGCCCTGAAGATGAGAGCTCGACAACCTGGGCAGCTACCGGAAGGCTCTCAGACAAGAGCCACTGTGGAGCCAGCTGCTGAAGAACATTTCCTGCAAGATGTCATGAAGACAGGAACAAGTTACAAGTCAGGAGAGTGATGGGTTAGGGACCAGAGGGGGTCTGAGGTGGCTTTTAGGAAGGGGGGCTGGTTAGGATGGTTTTTTTTTTTAATCTCTGCGTTGGTTTCAAGGTAGGGTTCAGTTTGTGAGATTTTATCAGGCTGTTCAGTTACTGATACGTGCCCTTTTCTGAATGAATGGTAGATTTAAACATCAAAGACAGAAAGACACAGCCCTCATTCCCCCACAGAGGGTGCCTCTCCAGTCTGAGATTTGCAGAGAGCCAGAAAAAGCTCATGAAAGGTGTGGGACCGGCCCTTGAAAGATGAGCAGTAGCATGAGAATGGTTTCCTGGGCAGAGTGGGTAGCGTCTACAACACCATGGGGGCAGCAGAGACTCCGGGCAGCTTAGAAAGATGACCTGGTCCATTTTGGCTGGATGGTGCGGGTCCCTGAAGCCCGCAGAGCTGGTCTGGTAAAGTCCCGAAGGCAGTGAACATGGGGATATAGGAGCTTTAAGCACGAGGCAGATGGAGACTCATTACTACTTTAACATTAATTTGATGTTTTTAAGCCATAGGTTGTCCTGGAAGGAGGTTAGACAACCAGAAAAAAAATGTGTTTGCAGCAGATTATAGGCTTGTCTATTATTTTATTAATATTCACAACAGCCCTGGGAGGTGCTTTAGTACCCCCGTTCTACAGATAAGACCAAGGCTCAGAAAGGTGGGGTCGTTGGTCAGATTCTCATGACCAGTGACTGGCAGCTGTGGGTTCTGAATCCAGGCCGACTGACTTCCAGTCCTGGGCTGGAAGGGCTTTGTTGTTCACCAAACACTATAGCATAAGCCTTCCCCTCTCTTGTTAGAAACCTGCATTATATATCTAGCCAATGAATAGTATACAGGTTGTGTACACGTGTACTTCCATGATCATCTCTAGGTCTATCTATGTTGTTGCAAATTGATTCTAGTGTGTTTGTTGTAGATGGGCAGAGTCTGGTTCATTCACAGATGAGCCACTTTCCAATTGCTGGATGTTTAGATCATTTCAGTGTTGGGGGTTACAAATCATTGCTCCAGTGAAACCTGCATTCTCTGGGCTCAACTCCCAGTGTGGATGCCCTCGAAGAGCGGATGCTGCATCCAGAACTGGACTAATTCACCCCAGAGAGAGACAGGAGCCAAGCCTTGGGCTGCTGCATTTCCTCTCCAGCACTAATATCCTTGTTCCGTCTGGACTATTTCCACAGGCAAAAGGACAGGCGTCTCGATGCTTCAATGTATGTTTTTAATTAACATAGAATTTGAACATTTTTCATATAAGTATTTGTCTTTCATAACTTTGATTCCTTTATTCTTTAAAGGTTTTTTTATGTGGACCATTTTTAAAATCTTTGTTACAATATTGCTTATTTTTAAAAAATTTTTTTTTGGCCACAAGGCATGTGGGATCTTCGGCTTCCTCACCAGGGATCCAACCCACACTACCTTCATTGGAAGGCAAAGTCTTAACCACTGGACCACCAGGGAAGTCCCTTATTTATTTTTATATTAGCAGAATTGTTTATTACAGTGAAAATTTAGAAAAAAATGCAATGTCCAACAATAACCTATGCCCGGTATGTACGATTAAATTCAACAACGTTAATAGTGATTCAACAGAATATTGTGCTTTTGTTGAAAAGGCTAACTATGATGCCTTACTAGAAATAGGCTTTTTGTGAATTAATTTATGTAGGAAAAAAAGTAGGGGAACAAGATTGGGTGAGAATGTATAGATTCACATTGCAGTTATGACTCTGTAAAAGCTACATTCATGCAGCTAAAGATCAAAAGGGAGCTAAATGAAAGTGGGTGTTGTGTTTGACTAGGGAAAATATTGTTACTTTTATTTTTGAAGAAACTGTTGAGCCAGGAAGGAATAATTGTACCAGAAACCTGGAGTGGTGTAATTCCTGCGCTTAAACCTGACTTTTGAGTTTCTCAGCAGCCAAAGTAAAGATCAGATTAGGATCACTTATGCAGCCCCTGTTTTCTGACCAAAGGAAGTGTATCCTTTTATCAGGAGAGACAAGCTTCTTTCTGGCATTAGCTTCTAATCAGTTTCCTTCTGGGTCTTGATGTTAGAGTCAGGAAACTTGATGAGCTGCACATTTCCCTGTAGCTGGCGGAAGCTGGGCTCATCTTCAGAGAGGTTCCACCAGGGGGATTAGGGACCAAGGAGGCCCCCACCATCTGGCCCCTGGTCCAGGGCAAGATGACACACAGCCCTTGGATTCTGCTCCAGGCAGGAAGTCATCCATTATGTCCCGCTGTGACAGGCCAGCTTTCTCCCATCACCGAGGAGCAGGACAAACGGCCACCCCCATCCTCTCGGTAACAAGTAATGCTCTGTTTGTTTGAAAGATCATTTTTGGCACACATGGACTGCCTTTTCCCCAAGTCAGGAAGTAAACGGCTTTGATGCTGCCCAGCCTCTGGAGGACAGGCTGCTGTGGGGCTCCCATGGGGTGCTGCTACCCACCTGAGCGGTTTCCTCAGGGCAGCGACCGCCCTGGCCCCTCCCCAACCCTCCAGGTGTATCTTGGTCCTGTGGATCTTGTATCAGCAGCCCCGGGGCCTTTGCTCGGCTTCTAGAACAGCCAAGCGCCTCCCGTCCCTCCCTGCCTCTCAGCTCTGCCGGCTCCATCCTGTCATTCAGGTCTCAGCTGAGAGGTGGCCCCCTTCCTGACACTTCTCCTGCTTCATACTCCTCTCTTTCTTTGTTAAAGTCTTAGTTTTCTCTCCACCCACTAGCCTATGAGCTTCTTCAGGGCAAGGCCTGTGTCTGCACACCATTGATACTAAATAAATCCTGTCGAGGGACTTCCCTGGTACTCCAGTGGCTAAGACTCCCAATGCAGGGGGCCTGGGTTCAATCCCTGGTCAGGGAATTAGATCCCACGTGCTGCATCTAAAGTATAGAGACAGTGAGAAACAATGGAAACAGTGAGAGATTTTATTTTGGGGGGCTCCAAAATCACTGCAGATGGTGGCTGCAGCCATGAAATTAAAAGACGCTTACTCCTTGGGAGAAAAGCTATGACCAACCTAGACAGCATATTAAAAAGCAGAGACATCACTTTGCCGACAAAGATCCATCTAATCAAAGCTATTGTTTTTCCAGTTGTCATGTATGGATGTGAGAGTTGGACCATAAAGAAAGCCGAGCGCCGAAGAATCAATGCTTTTGAACTGTGGTGTTGGAGAAGACTCTTGAGAGTCCCTTGGACTGCAAGGAGATCCAATCAGTCCATCTTAAAGGAAATCAGTCCTAAATATTCATTGGAAGGACTGATGCTGAAGCTCCAATACTTTGACCACTTGATGTGAAGAACTGACTCATTGGAAAAGACCTTGATGCTAGGAAAGATTGAAGGCAGGAGGAGACGGGGACAACAGAGGTTGAGATAGTTGGATGGCATCACCAATAGATGGACATGAATTTAAGCAAGCTCTAGGAGCTGGTGATGAACAGGGAGGCCTGGCGTGCTGCAGTCCATGGGGTCACAGCTGAGCGACTGAACTGAACTGAGATGAACCGCCACAACTAAAGATCCCACAAGCCACAACTCAAGACCTGAGGCAGCCAAACTAGTTTGTTAAAATAGACTTTTAAAAACTCCCGTCCAGTGTGTGGAGAAAGCACCTCTCTGGCAGCTGGCAGTGCAGCGTGGAGGGAAATGCATGGCTTCGAGGCAGAGCCGTGTGATGCCCAGAGTCACCACCCCCACCAAGAGGGGCACCTCTTCTTCCCCCACCAGGACAGCTGGGGAGACCGTGGCTCAAGGAGGTGGCAGAGCTGGCACCACTGTGGCCCAGATGCTGCCCTCTGCCGCCCCCCGGGGACGGCCCAGGGCTGCCATCCACCCACCTCCGCTCCAGAGCCCATTCACTGCCCTCGCTGGTCCCTTCTCCACGACACTAGTGTCTTTGCTCAGGAGGAAGGTAATGGGGGCAATCGTGTGACTAGAGTGACAAATGAGAAAAGAATTCCATCCCTTCAGCTCAGAATGAGAACTTCCACATTTTGCCAAGCACGCAAGCTGTCGAGAAGCCCTGGGCTCTCGGTCCTTGCCCAGATGTCTGCCTTCCAACTCCTGCACCCTCGAGCCTGTGCCCCACACACAGCGTGGCAGCTCCCGCCGTCAGGGCTGGTGGTGCTGGGGACATGACTGGAAGCCCCTGCCTGGGCCAGCCCCATTGGTCCACTTCCCCACTAGGCTAAGGATGCTGTTCCCACCTGTCCTGCATCTTTGCACACCTCTGGCTTTGAGCCCATTTCACTCTGCGTGTGTGCGTGCTCAGAAGCTAAGTCATGTCTGATTCTTTGTGACCCCCTGGACTGTGGCCCACCAGGCTCCTCTGTCCATGGGATTCTCCAGGCCAGAATACTGGAGTGGGTTGCCGTTTCCTTCTCCAGGGGATCTTGCCCAGCCAGGGATCGAACCTGCGTCTCCTGCATTGGTGGGCGGATTCTTTACCACCGAGCCACGTGGGAAGGCCGTTTCACTCTGCGTGAGCTCTATTTCACAGCAGGGGAACCAGGACCATAGAGGACCCTGCCAGCCTCACACAGACAGGGAGCAGGGCCAGGATGTTCCCAGGCACGTCTGGATGGTGAGCCCACACATTCATCACCACCCCACAGGGCCCACCCAGCGCAGCGGCAGGTGGTTGGTGAGTGTTCAGGCTGAACGGGATCCCCCTAAAAGTCACAAATGCTAACCCTCAGTACTTGGGAATGTGACCATATTTGGAGATGGAGCCTTGGAAGAGGGGATTGAGTTAGATGAGGTCATTGGAGTGGTCCCCAGTCCAATATGACTGGGGTCCCTAGAGGAGGAGACAATGAGGACACCGACACACACAGAGGAGAGACCGCGTGAGGACGCAGGGTGAGGACAGCCATCGCCACACCAGACAGAGGAGCCCCAGCAGGAACCAGCCCTACCAACATCCGGTTCTCGAACTTCCGGCTTCCGGAACTGGGAGGAAATGCGTTCTTAGTGTTTAAGCCCCTCGGTCTGTGGCATTCATTATGCAGCCCTAGCAAAACGAACGCAGTGAGAGACGGGAAGAGATGTTCTTTGTCTGGGGTCTGGGACTCTATAAATAGGCATCGGGACCCAGGACTCTGTAAATAGGGTGGGAGAGCATCAGCCTCCCAGGGACGTTAAGAACCTCAACTGTCTTGGAACTTGTGGTGGTCTGTGCGTGGGTTGGAAAAGAATTTTCAGACACGAGGCAGGATGAGAGGAGAAGAGAGTTTATTACAGTGGGAGACAGTGTTAGAGCAGCAGGCCAGCCCAAGGGAGAGCCGACCCCTTTCACAGGCTAGTAGCCAATTTTTATAGCCTCAAGACAGAGAAATTCCTACTGGAATGCTGGCATTAGGTGACTGGTTGGATGCTGTAGGGTGGGTAATAGGGTGCTATATATTACCCTAACACAGGGTAGGGAATTGGCCGGTTTAGATCTGGAGGTTCATGGCAACAGTTGCTATGGGGTTTGGGCAGTTCCAGAGATTTCTGTCCTGTGACCTTCGTACAGAGCTCCTCAGAACTCTCCATGGATCAGACGAATTATCAGGGAAAATTCAGATAAAGCCACCATAATTTATTTTTACGTGAAAACATATTAATAGTTCTTTGAGGAGCTGTTCAGTGGTGTTGGAGAAGACTCTTGAGAATCCCTTGGACTGCAAGGAGATCCAACCAGTCCACCCTAAAGGAGATCAGTCCTGGGGGTTTATTGGAAGGACTGATGCTGAAGCACCAATTCTTTGACCACCTGATGCAAAGAGCCGACTCATTGGAAAAGACACTGATGCTGGGAAAGACTGAGGGCAGGAGAAGAAGGGGGTGAAGATGAGACGACTGGATGACATCACCAACTCAATGGACGTGAATATGAGCAAACTCCGGGAGATAGTATTGGACAGGGAAGCCTGGTGTGCTGCAGTTCATAGGGTGGCAAAGAGTCGGACATGACTTAGCGGCTGAACAACAACAACAACAACTCTGCTTTGAGACTAAAGCTCCTGCCTCACACAAAACAAAAGCCCAGAAAACGGAAAAGCCAGCGATGAGAGCTTGACCTTGTCAGGAGGGGCAGACGTCTGGCTGTCCTAAGAGCAGGTAAGTGAAAATGGGAAAAGTGAATGTGAAAAAGACGAAAAGCATTGGCGCTTCTGCGGTTACAAAAGAGGAGGAGGAGGAGAAGCCCTTACGTGACTGAAGCACATGCTTCATTTTGTTTTGATAGATGGAGCTCCAGGTCCCTCAGTTGTGTCCGACTCTTTAGAGACCCCAGGGACTGTAGCCCGCCAGGCTCCTCTGTCCATGGAATTCTCCAGGCAAGAATACTGGTGTGGGTTGCCATTTCCTTCTCCAGGGTATCTTCCTGGCCCAGGGATCTAACCTGGGTCTCCTGAACTGCAGCAGATTCTTTACCATCTGAGCTACCTAACCACTGAGGTTCTGGAAAAACTGTCTCCTGGAACCGTGGAGACCCGGAAGCCTCGAGAGTTTGGGTTTTTGGCCGTTTCAGGGCAGATTTTCGTTTCTTTGGCTGTTGGCCATAGACAAAAGAATGGTGATCTTTAAATTTCCTACTAGTTGAGAAAAGTGAACAGGAATATAATGGGCATCTATCTGTTTTCCACCTTCATTTGGGAAATTCCCCGCTGAAGAGCCTCCCAAAGAGGCACAGCTTTCTCCCCGCTGCAGAAACTAAACCCTCACGTCTCCCTCACTCCCCCCACGCCAGCCTCCCTTAAAGGTCAGATGCTGGCCTGCGACCAAGGCGAGCCAATCTCACAGAACTGCCCCGGATTTTGTAGAATGAGCTCGCTGGCGATGGAAAGAGACAGGGTTGGCGGTGAGTTCCTTTTGTCAGCAGCTAGAAGCAGCAGCAGGACTGCGGCGTTTCTGGGGTGAGCCCTGGGTGCAGAGCGAGCAGGGGCACCCAGCACTGAGTGGCAGTGACAGCCCCTGCCTGTGGCTGGAGCTCTGCTAAAGAAGGCTGAGCGCCGGAGAATGCATGCTTCTGAACTGTGGTGTTGGAGAGGACTCTTGAGAGTGCCTTGGAGATCCAGCCAGTCCATCCTAAAGGAGATCAGTCCTGAATATTCACTGGAAGGACTGATGCTGAAGCTGAAACTCCAATACTTTGGCCGCCTGATGCCAAGAGCTGACTCACTGGAAAAGACCCTGATGCTGGGAAAGAGTGAAGGCAGGAGGAGAAGGGGACGACAGAGGATGAGATGGCTGGACGGCATCACTGATTCAACTGACATGAGTTTGAGTGAACTCTGGCAGTTAGTGATGGACAGGGAGGCCTGGTGTGCTGCAGTCCATGGGGTCACAAAGAGTTAGACATGACTGAGTAACTGAACTGAACTGAACTGGTTTTACTCCAGATATCCTTAGCCTAGCCCAGCTTTTCAGCTTGGTCTGCAGGATTCCTGATATTTCTATGAGCTTTTGTCCAATACCATTTCAATAAATTTCTTTCTACAACCAGCATTGGTTTCCGCAGCTTGCAACTAAGAGTCCTGATTGATACTGAGGTTGTTGCAGAATTAGTGGAGGACAGTCTTCTAAGGATGGTAGACCCCGAACAGGGGCCTTAAGTTGATTGCATATGGATGTAACATCTCAACATGACTTTGGTTGCCTCTGGCTGGGGGAAAGTTAATAACTGCAGCTGTGTGTGACATAGTTGGGTTGAGTTAAGCAAAAGCAAGTTTGTAGGTAGAGAGCAAGGGGGCATGGGTGTATTGAGCAGCCAACTGATGGGATGTCGTAGGCACCTTTGGAAATGAAACCCAGCCCATGACTCCCACTCCTTTGAGTGCTGCAAATTTTTTTTTCATATAAATTTTACTATTTTAACTTTTTTATTTTTTTTTTTACTTATTGGGGCACACTGCACGTCTTGCAGGATCTCCGTTCCCCAGCCAGATATTGAACCCAGGAAACAGCAGTGAAAGCCCTCAACCCTAACCACTAGGCCACCAGGGAACTCCATGAGAGCTGCAACTTTCATTAAAATTTTGCAGTTTTTCTAAAGTACAGATCTTACTTCTTTAGCTCTGAGCACTTCATGTTTTTATTGTCATTCTGAACAGAATACTTTTCCCATCACATTTTCTAATTTGTTACTGCTGATAGGAAAGCTGTAAGATTTTACATATTTATTATGGACAACTATGTGTATGTTATGTATTAATACAATTATCTTTATTGCCATGAGGTTTATAATAGAAACATAAACAGAAATGGAAATATCATAACTAGTGTGTAACACAGAAGACTTGTTAAGTAAACGTGTGACAGATCCCCACTATCGAATATCATGTAATTCTTTTTTTTTTCCAATTTTTATTGAAGTATAGCTGATTTATCATGTAACTTTTTAAAAAGATTTTTGATGTGGACCACTTTTTAAAAGTCTTTATTGAATGTGTTATAACTCTGCTCCTGTTTTATGTTTTTGTTTTTTGGCCCCAAGGCATGTGGGATCTTACCTCCCCAATCAGAGATCAAACCAGCACCACCTGCATTGGAAGCTGACGTCCTGACCACTGGACCACCAGGGAAGCCCCTCATATAACTCTTTAAATTCAGAAGACTGTTATGAAGCCTGTTGTAATAGAGGTGCTTGTTTTTTAAAGAAAATAAGAAAGCAAGACTTAAAATGCTTATATGCTAGGCTTTGTTAAACTGTATATAAATATGGAGAATACTGGAAGAAAAACACGGTGTCATTAGGTTAGTGGCTTTTGTGGGTCTTTTTGCACTGATTATTTTTTACTCTGTACATGTATTATTTCTGGGCTTCCCAGGTGGCTCAGTGAGAAAGGATTCATCTGCCAATGCAGGAGATGTGAGTTGAGTCCCTGGGTTGGGAAGATCCCCTGGAGGAGGAAATGGCAACCCACTCCAGTATTACCTGAGAAATCCCTTGGACAGAGGAGCCTGGCGGGCTACAGTCCATGGGGTCACAAAGAGTTGGGTATGACTCAGCAACTGAAGGCGCGTGGACATGTGTCACTTCTATATTAAAGGGAAAAAATCTAAAACAGGCCACACATGTATCACTTCTACATTAAAGGAAAAAAATCTAAAACAGGCCACACATGTGGTTATTTCAAACTTGTGTTTACAAAGTCGAAAGTTCTGTCTCTACCCTAGGAAAACCAGCCATTGTTTGTTTTGATTTTTTTAGGATTAGAAGATACTTTTAACTGTAACCACGTTGCAGAAGATGGGGGGAGACAGAGGGAAAAAATTACCCATAATCTCATCCTCTTGACATAAGTAGAATGGTGGTATATTTTGTTCCAGTATTTGATATGCATAGTTTACATAGCTCAGCTAGGAGTACATAGTTTGTAACCTGGTTTCCTTAATTAAACTTCTTCATAACCACCATCCAAGTTGCTACAAAGCCCCCACAGCCAACCCTCCCAGTGGGCAATAAATGCCATCAGCTCACCCCTTGTTGGATGTTCAGGCTGACTCCAGTTTCTTTGCTGTTATGAAAAACACCGCAAGGACCGTATATTTGTCCGTGAGCCTTTCCCACATTTGGGATTTATTTCTTTAGGACAGATTCCCAGAAGTCAGATGAGCGGGTCAAAGGGCACATGCCCCTCTAATGAGCATCTCTTTCTAAGCCACCTGCCGTTTGCTGGAAGGACAAATGGTTCTAATTAAAGGCCTGAACTTTTCTCACAGGTCCCAGCTGGGTGTATTGGGGAGCTGCTGGGGTCTTTGCAACCAGAGCAAACTTGTTTAACTAAAGGAGGAGGGGGAAGGGGGGAGGGAGTCTTTGTAGGTAGTGTTTTTCTCTAAAGGAATGCAACAATTTTTTCATTGTAAGGATTCATATTTTAGGAAAATCTGCACAGCTGTGAGCCTTACCAAGTGTCTGCTTCGCCCAGCAAGGCCTTCCCTGGAGCCACCATCATCCCTGTTTACAACTCAGAGTTTAGGAAGGGCATTCATCTCTCTTCACCACAAACTGCTCCCTTTATAAAGATGAGGAAACCAAGGCTTGAATAGATGAAGGAACTTGCCTGAGATCAAGAGTAATTAAGTAACAAAGCCAATCCTCCATCTCATCCCTCCAACTCCAGGGCCTCTTGAGAATCAGTCATGTTGGACTGGACTTGTTCGTTCACAAACGCTGAGCACAGATCTGTGCCAGGCCTGGAGGTGTCAGGACTGGCTCCCAGAAGCTCATGGTCTGGGGGAGACCACAGGTGCCCTGAGACGATGCAGGCTGCAGTGGCAGGGGGCAGGGGGTGCTCTCAGGAATGCTCAGCAGAAGTTGCCGGTGGAAAGGAAAGGAGACACGGAGGACAGATGATGTTGTTCAGTCGCTCAGTCGTGTCTGGCTCTGCAGTCCCAAGAACTGCAGCACACCAGGCTTCCCTGGCCTTCACTATCTCCCGGAGTTTGCACAAACTCATGTCCATTGAGTCAGTGATGCCTTCCAACCATCTCATCTTCTGCTACCCTCTTCTTTTGCCTTCAGAATTTCCCAGCATCAGGGTCTTTTCCATGGAGGTGAGAGGATGGTGCATTTCGGCAAGTGGGGCCTGGCCTGGCTCTCAAGAAACTCAGCTCCAGGTCTCCTGGATGGAGACCATGTGTGTGAGACACTCGTAAGGAAGATGGTCATGATCCCCCCGCCCTGTACACATAGAATGCTGAGGGACAAGTTAGAGACCACAGGCTCCTGTCTTACGCCTGGTGGTGACTCTGATGACCAAGAGTAAGCTCTGACCTCACAGGCCTCTGTTAAAACACTGTCTCCACCCCTCACGGGCTGGATGACCTCGGTGAGGCAAGACACTCACCTGCTCTGAGCTGCAGTGGATTCTTTATTAAAAAACAAAAACAAAACGATACTGACATCAGCCTCTTACGGGGTTGGGAGGGTTTGGATATCATAGGCGAAGCATCCAGATCTGTGCTTCACACATGGAACCGGTCTGATAAGTGTCAGCTCTGATAAAGGAGAAGAAAGGGGTGGGAGAGGGGATGTAGGGGGAGAGCTGGTCTTGGAAACTTCATGGAAACTTGAGCTGGGGGAAGAACGGGGAGTTCTGTGGGAAGAGATGGGAGGCGAGCAGTGCCCAAGGCAGAAAGAGCAGCAGAAGCTTGAAGAGAGGCCTCTGCAGGTGAGCCTGGCTTTTCCCTGTGTCCAGGGGCCGGGCCCCATGCCACGTGCTGACCCACTGGGCTGTGGAGCTGCCGTCTTCCAGAGGAGGCCCTGAGGGTTGGATGACCCCGGTACCCAGGTGCCCACTGTGCTCGGGGCACAAGGTGGCCTCCTGCTCCTTGCAGTCTCTGACCTGTCTCGCCCTCGGCTGCGGGGCCTGGCTTCCTGGGCTTGGGCTGGCTGCCTGCCTGCCTTCGGGCTGCCTGGTTGTTCTCAGGATGGCCCCCCACCTTGTCTCGCCCTGTGCCCACGCGGAAGGCAGGGCCGGGAGAAGCTCTGTGGGCACCACCAGCTTTACAGCCACTGGGCCAGGCCCCCGGGCTGTGCTGGAGGGTTGCGATGCTTGTGGCTGTGGCCACAGCCCTGCCCTGGGGCCAGCCGGCCCCACGCCCGCTTCTCCCTCCCTGCCGGGGCCACACAGCTGGGCAATGGGCAGAGGGATCTTTCTGCATCTCCACTGGCTCCTCGCTGTCTGCAGGACGGCGTCCAGGCCCTCCGATGGTCCCAGGAGGCCCGGGATGCCCTGCTCTGATTATGTCTCCTCTCCAGCCTCTTCTCTCTGCATGCCCAGCCAATGACTCGCTCATCGGCTACCTCGGCAAGTATTTTCTCGAGGACCTACTATATGCCAGGCACTGTCCTGGGCCCAGCCATGGACCAAACAGACAGACCCCTGCCTTCGTGGAGCGCACGCTCTGGGGGTCGGGGCTCCCTTCAGACCTGGAATACCCCTCCTGTGTCTGCAGCTGCCGTTCCCTCCCCTGCAGGCCCTGCTCCTCCTGGCAAACCATTCTCACATTTCAGAAGCTGGCCCCAAGTGTCCCGGTAGTCTCAGGAACAGTGTAAGGAGGGCCTGGGACACCTCAACATCACCCTGCCCCCGGACCCCCCCAACCCCAAACACAAACAGAAACTTCGGGATCTGAGAAGCACAGCGGACAGGGGGCTGAGTCACACCGCAGGGGCTTCCCACTTTATCTCCAGCTTCAGATTTTAGTCTGGGTCTTAACATGAAAAATGCAGTGTTTACCCTGATGCGGGGAAAAGTCAGCCTGTGTCTTAGATTTCACATTCTACAAGGCTGACTTCACTTACGAACGTACTTTACGCGCTCTCGTGTTTCAGACGCCAAACGCCTCTCATCCCGTCTGGGGTTTGGGGGGTTGAGGTTGGCTGAGGCTGGGTGGTCTGTGGGCATATGGATGTGCAGGCCTCCTCTCCCCCGGCCCCTCTGGGGGTGTCCCCCGGTCCTCCGCCCTCACTCCCGCACGGGCCAGCTCTTCCTGGCACTGACGCTTTGTCCGTTTCTCTCATTGCTGGGTGGGGTCATGCTCTGCTTACCCCAGGGACCCCCGTTCAGGAGGAAGTGCAGCCCGGTCCTGCCATGGCCACGTGGTACCCATTTAAACATATGGCACGAGTGGCAGGCCTGACGCGTGATCGGATCAGCCCGCACGCCCTGGACCACACACGAATCCCTCCACCGGCGGCCTGAGCCTTGCAGCGTTGTCTTGCTCACGTCCCCAGACCCCAGGGCTCGCATGCAGACTCAGCCAAGCCCTGGCCAGCAGCACACAGCATGGCCTTGAGTCCTTAGCAACCCCGTGAGATAGGGATACTGTGCCCACTTTACAGATGGAGAAACCGGGGCTCAGGAAGGCCAGGGGCTCAGCAGGCATCCTGCAGCCCCTGAGAGCCCAGCCCGGTGCACCCCTCTCTCCAGCTGTCCTGACTCCAAGTCTAGACAGAACTCAGTCCACTAAAGGGAAGGGACCAAGAACCTGGGACCCCATCGTGCAGCAAACCTCAGGTGGGGCCGCCCAACCCAGCCTGGATTTCTAAAATAATATTTTTGAAAATTCTATAAACCACATTTTAATCATATTAAAAGAAATCAGAAGTCCAAGAAAAATGGACAACCTCACTGCCCCAACCCATTAGACTCATTTTCCACGTTCCTCTCTAGTTCTTGTTCCCTTGCGTGAAAGATGTTTACAGCTATAATCAGGGTGTCAATACAATTGTGTATTTATTGTGTACTTAAGCATGACTTCTTTTTACAAAAGCAAGTTTGTGAATAAACTGTGTAGGAAGCACTCCTTTTCTTCTTTTTAAATTGGAGTAATGGGCTTCCCTTGTGGCTCGCTGGTAAAGAGTCTGCCTACAATGCAGGAGATCCTGGTTTGATTCCTGGTTAAGGAAAATCCACTGGAGAAGGGATAGCCTACCCACTCCCGTATTCTTGGGCTTTCCTGGTGGCTCAGCTGGTAAAGAATCTGCCTGCAATGTGGGAGACCTGGGTTCGATCCCTGGGTTGGGAAGATCCCCTGGAGAAGGAAAGGCTACCCACTCCAGTACTCTGGCCTGGAGAATTCTGTGGA